CTCATTCCCGGTATCTATGGGTATGCAGACGACAGCACAGTTGTGGAGAGATACTAACTAAGTGCCCGGGCCAGAGGAGTGAGAGGCTATCGTTGAGAGTGTGAATCTCATACTACAGGCAGTCTCTGACTGGGACGATTCCAATCTCGTGAGATCTAACGCCTCCAAAGCGTGTCTTTCCACCGCTAAAAGGAGCCCGCTTACCTTGTCTCCTACTTTCCGTACACTGACCACCTTCAGTTGTTAGGGGTTGAATTTTCTCCGAACCTCAACTGTGGGCGGTTCATTGAGTCCAGACCCAAAGCAGCCGCAAGGAAACTTGGTGTCCTTGCAAGGGTGCGGCGGTACTTCACGCCGGAGCAGCTTCTTACCTTAAATAAAGCGCCATTCCCGTCGTGCATGGAGTACTGCTGTCACATATGGGCTGGTGCTGCAAAAAGCCACCTGGCAGCGTTGGACTCAGTGGAGAGACGTGCTAAGAGGCTTATTGGTGACCTTGATTTTGTCGAAACCAATTTTGTCAGCCTCGAGCACAGACGCAGAGTAGCCAGTCTCTCGATATTCTATAGGATGCATTTCGGTGAGTGTGCGCAGGAATTACACGCTTTAATTCCTTCCTCTCCTTTCCACCATCCGACAACCAGGCGATCGGCGGGTTTTCATCCTTTTTCTGTCAATATTCCAGTGTCTATCAGCATCAGTATAATAGATATATTAGAACCAAACGGTTTGCTTCGTCTTTTGTAAAGCGTACAGCAAATGAGTGGAATAATTTGCCGGCGTCTTCTTTCCGTCCAAATACAATGGGCGTCTCCAAGGCAAGAGTGAATAGGCTTTTGTTACGATAAGACAGTGCGATTTACCATCTAAGCCTGCATCGCCACTTAACACCAGGTGGGATTGTGGTCAAGCACTGGCTTATAATAAGTAAAAAAAAAGTTTTCATCCTCGCACTTCTTGTGGAATTGTTTACCACCCGCAATTTTTCCGGACTGATATGACTTAGTGACATTTAAGAAACGAGATTACTCCTTTTTAAAAGGCTGGCTACGCACCTGCAATTTCCTCGGTGTTGTAGTTGTTCATGGACGGCGGTCGACACTTACCTTCAGGTGAGACGCTTGCTATTACTATTTCGGATATAATACAGCCTAGATTAGCATTGCTCTCTATCTGGTCATGAAGTTTCATTACAATCGGTTCAGCCAGCTATGCCTAAGATTAGCCCCAAACTACAGAATTTTTTTTAACATACAAATAACCCCCTCAACTCATTTAATGGCAGTTATTTCGATATAACAGAGATACACTTCATTCTTATTTATATCTATACATAAAATATCTGCTCCGACTTTAGCACTGGCAGATTATTTCTCGCTATTCAAGCGATTTCAAACTAAGTTAAGAATTAATACTATTTGTCTTAAGTCACTGGTTTGAAAAAAAAGGAATGATGTCTGGAAGCCTTGTTTCAGTGTAATAACTAGGTAATTATCTTTCAAAACCAATTTCGAAAAATAAGTACCTACCTAGTTTTTGTTTAGTTTATGTCATCTTAACTGTTGAATAAAACAAACAAGTGTTGCTTCAATTGTTTACTTATTTGTAACATTAGAATTATTTCAATTACGTCAACATTATTGACATTCAGTTCACCAACTTATCTAATCCATCCTATCCTATGAATTTGTAATTTCTCATTCACACAATAATACATTAAATAAGGATTGATCTCGCAACAAATTAGGCCCAAATATTACATAATAAAAATCCATCACATGATTAGAAAAAAATACAATTATTTAATAGTATTACTAAACATATTTGACACAGTTATTCCAGTTATCTTTTAACATCCGGACACAAGCTCCATCACATTATTTGATAGGAGCATGTCGAAATAAAAAAATCAAGTTACATTACAATAAAATTTGTTCGTAATGCTTAGAAATTATTTATAGCAATCCATGAAAAAGATATCAATAAATTTTTTTAGCGTTTTAGGCTTACATTTGCACTTATACAAAATATAATAGTCATAATAACAATTGTAGTGCAATTAAAGATTGTGACAGTCAACATAAGTAATCAGGCTTCACAATCCATACAGGCTATTATCACAACCTTCTAAGCAGTATTCAGGATCTAAATTCTTAAGGAGTTTATGGTCACGCTTAACTATCTACATAATATATTATGGCATACATTGTAGATGTATTAAAAATAAATACTTAATTAAAATTGATTGTACTACACCCAGTACGGTGGCAGTCTGGGATGATGGGTCTCTTCACTTCATCAGTCAGAGGAAAAGTAAATGCACATAAAATTGATTCTAATACTGTTGTCATTTTAAATAGTCACATTGACATCACATACATGCATTCAGTCAATAACAGGCAAGAATGTGTGCCGTGCAGTTATCATATAGACTTTATTACTACCTTAGATTAAACAAGTCAGTATTGACTGAAATGTTGTTACAGTTCAGTCAGCATTGACTCATCTGTGTCAACACAAAAACTAGTGGTTGTTGAATATTAAGGTAATGCTGCTTTACAATATGTAATCATAAGAAACTGACTGACTACTGGTTTAGTGTAAATATTTTATATGGCTTAATATCGATTTATACCGAGTCATCTTTTAGTGGAAATTTATTATAATAATTATATGTAGGATCAAAATCGTTCTAAAAAGCACTGACTGTTGTGTTTAGATAAGGTTAGTGTTGCTGACATATGAAAGGAAATCACATGAACTTCATTCAATTTGTTGTTACCACTCACTAGACGGCACTGCACTGATTTGCAATCAGTTTATAACAATTTAGTTCATAAATGGTTAGATATGCAGGTATTGTCATTGACATGTTTGTTTATTATAACATGGGTTTAGTAACAACTCTTGTTTAACAGTTATTCATTTATATTTCAATATAATTGTGATTGATTCGAACACAAGATGCAATAAACTTAATATAATATTTCGTACGACTTTCCATTGATGTCCGTCGAGTTGGGGGTTGATATTTTTTTTTACAGAAAGCTTACATTATTATAAGCACACACGGAAAGTTTCAAAATGCGGAAATGCGTACTTTTTAAGAAAAAAAATTATTGAAAATCAATTAATCTTGCAATATTTATGCCAATCCCCATTGACATCCATCGAGTTGGAGGTTGATATATTTTTTTACAGAAATGTTACATTATTATAAGCACACACGCAAAGTTTCAACATGCGGAAATGCGTACTTTTTAAGAAAAAAAATTATTGAAAATCAATTATTCTTGCAATATTTATGCCAATCCCCATTGACATCCATCGAGTTGGAGGTTGATATATTTTTTTTGCAGAAATGTTACATTATTATAAGCACACACGCAAAGTATCAACATGCGGAAATGCGTACTTTTTAAGAAAAAAAAATTATTGAAAATCAATTATTCTTGCAATATTTATGCCAATCCCCATTGACATCCATCGAGTTGGAGGTTGATATATTTTTTTACAGAAATGTTACATTATTATAAGCACACACGCAAAGTTTCAACATTTGGAGACACGTACTTTTTGAGAAAAAAAAATTATTGAAAATCAACTATTTTTGCAATATTTATGTCAATTGCTACCGTAAAACTGACGCTATTTTGTATTGTTGTTGTCAGTAGGGCTGTCGATTCTTTCCGAAAAAGTTCGATTTTTTTTAAATCGATTCGAATTATAAGCTGATGTATCGATTCACAAAAAATCGATTTCTAAATATCTATATTTTTTTGTTTACATTTATAATATAAATATAAACCCATCTTATGAGAAAAAACATACCCTTCATCATAAAAAAAATAGGGGACTGATTCAGAAGGATTTCTGTATCTCTTTTGAGACTGCTACGTCTCCGGCGCTGCGGGAAGAGCAGTCTCTACGCCTTTGCGTAACAAATCGCAGGCATCGTTCCTCATCTTCGAAGTTTTGGCTTGTTGGTCGCCTTCGGCGACCAGCCTCTGCCGCTACGGCTCGTCCGATGCCTACGATTTGTTACAGCAGGCGGAGGCTGCTTTCCCTACGTGCCTCCGGCTCTATAAAACCACTCTAGGGGTAGGACGGACTCGTACCAGGTGGAGTCGGGGTCAATCAATTCGGTTCTTTGACATAAGTTGAACCTAACCTATTTTATTTGTTGTCCGTCCTAATAGGTACTGTTAAAATAAAACAAATTTCAATAAGAGATCATTTATTATGCTATCTTTCTTGTTTTTCATAAAATGTTATTATATTTATATTATAAATGCAAACATGAAAAAATATAGATATTTTAGAAGACGATTTTTTGTGAATCGATACATCAGCTTGATTCGAATCGATTTTAAAAATCGATCTTTTTCGGAAAGAATCGACATCCTTACTGACGATGACAATGACAATACAAAATAGCGTCAGTTTTATGGTAGGAATTGACATAAATATTGCAAAAATAATTGATTTTCAATAAAAAAAATTTCTCAAAAAGTATACGTTTCCGCATATTGAAACTTTACCTGTATGTTTATAATAATGTATCCTTTCTGTAAAAAAAATATCAACCTCTAACTTGACGGACGTCAATGGAAAGCTAGGTCGAATATAGATACAGTTAGACTATTGGTGTTGTTATAGACATGATGTAAATTGGTTTTCTTTAAAGACATGCATAAGATTCATCGACTGGTTTTATGGACCACATCATATTCTGTAGAGGTCGGTATTGTCACAACTTGTAGTTTACATTACATCCTACATACAGTTTGAACATATCAATATTCTCTCACAGTTGTAAATTCACCGTTTCAGTGGTAGGACAGAAAACTCACTGTTAATTTCACAGTTTTAGTTTTGGTACAGACGTTCAAATGACGTAAAATATGTTCGTTCGATGTAGTCTATATACATTTCAGACAACAGAAGATGCGCTTTTTTGATCGGTGGAAGCGTTGCGAAAATCCGATAGGGCGCGACGGTCACGGCTTCCGTCGGCGCCGTCCCTTGCGGTAGCCCTTGCCGTACCAGCCCGCGTCGTCGGCGAGCGGCGCGGCGGAGGCGTCGGGGCAGCAGGCGCACAGGTAGCGGCGGCCGCGCACCACGCGGTACACGCGCGGCGCGGCGGGCTCGGGCGGCGGCCCGTACCACAGGCAGCGGCGCGCGCCGTAGTGCCGCGCGCACCAGGCGCACCAGGCGCACGCGCCCGCCAGGATGGTGTGCAGGCCCGGGTACAGCCCCGCGCGGCACGCCAGCACCGCGCGCCGCGTGAACGCGGCCGCCAGCGCCTCGCACTCGCGCGCCTCCCGCGCGTCCCGCGCCGCCTCCCGCGCCTCCCGCGCCTCCCGCGCCTCCCGCACCTCCCGCACCTCCTGCTCCCCCGGCACCATACTTCTACAAGACCCTTCAATTTCACTTTTCAATTCACTACAATCTCTCCCGTTGGTGACGGGCAACTGCACTTTACACCTCCTATCTATACTGAACGCTTGCGACGAGTACGGCACTACACTTTTGCACGACACTTTCGATTCCACTTTTAAATCACTGCAATCCCTCCAGCCCTCGACGGGCAACTTCACTTTACACTTCTTATCCGCACCGAATTCGCCCCTCGTCACACCGTTCAACTCAATCTTGATCGCACCACTCCTGTGATCAATTTCACTCTTTACGTCCTCGTCTTTAGGATTCAACTCGAGCAGCTGTCGCAATTTCGAGCTGCAAGGCCAAACCCCGTTGCCATTGATCTCGTTCTTCTCTTGTTTTACGGTAGGCGGATACTCAAAGGCGTTTGAGATTATTTCGGGGGCGAATACTGGCCCGCACACCAACTGACCGTTGGAGGCGAGTGGCCGCTGGATGCGGAAGCGGCGGAGATCACTGATAGGAGCGGGGCGCTGAACGAAAGAAATGGCGGAAGAGGGAACTAAAGGACACTTATCAGTTAAGGGGGAGACAGAGTTGGAGCGAAAAGGTGGAGGCTCGGGCGGCGGCAGCTCGGAGGGCGCATGCTCAGCACGAAGCAAGATGGTTGCCTCGCACGACCGCATGCTCACCTACAAAATACAAATTTTAACATTATCGATTTATTTAAATATTCTAGAATAAATAAATGACTCAGTCTGAGACTTAACATAAATTTAAAATGTCAGTTCCTACTCTTGAGACCTGCAATATTGTCATTTTTTGAATGGAAGATGTATTAATGTTTTACACAATAGTTGCAATCGTATTGAATAAGAGTAACATCAGGTTCTAACAGGTTACATACAAACAGAATACATAAACTTTTGTATATGCAAACACAGTGGCACTACTCGACCAATATGTTTCTGTGTTATTGATATGGTAAAAACCGGACAGCTTTTTGCTGATAATCCTGTTCAGTTTACACCAAACGCCTTATGTACGCGTCGGCATTTTACTTTAATGTTTTTATTTGAGCCAGTACATGTACGCACATCAACAAGGTCTCGTGTGCTAACATACCCAACTTTTGTAAACATTATAACAATAACCATTTTGTGCATAAGCAGTGTTTTAAGTAACATTTACATCAAAAGTTATTGAATACTACAACGAATGCATTTCATCTTAATGGATTATTTTTTGGGGGTGACAACGCAATTATATTAAGACTCTTATATCTATTGTGACCCTCATTTTTATAAAAGAATATCTCATCAATAATAAAACACAAGAAATAATAAACTATTTAGAAGTTCATATCCTATGAAATAAAAACAAAAATATTATTAAAAAATTATTATTTATTTCCGCACAAATTGATTTGTTGACTTAAAACAGACATTGAAAAAGACCTAACACAAAAATGTGTTTCAGACCTTACTGTCTGCTATTTTGGATGGGCCGGCACCGGGGTGGTATCACGACCTCACAGAAAACCAGCGTGAAGTAGAGATTTACCTCTGCGTTTCGCTTGGTGAGTGCAGGTGGCCGGAGGCCCTTTTTACTGGAAATGAGGCATTCCATCTTAGTCCTCACGGGTGACAACGCATCTACATTTTGATTTTTAATAGAGGATAGATGTAAATATCTATGGGCCACAACAGCCGCTTGCCATCGGGTGGAATGTGTGCTCGTTTGTCACCCTTGTCCTATAAAAAAAAGACAGTTTGCCACCAGTTAATAGCTAAATTAACAGTACAGTATATATACAGCAACTAACACAATAATTAAAAAATAGGTAAACTATCTTCATAAACAAAATTACTTATCTTAAGAGATATTGTGTAACATACATTAAAAATACTACTGTGGGATTCATGGCCTCCTTTTTATTAAATTATTTAACAATATACATAAAACATATTCAACACTTCTCTGTATATTCTAGATTCTAGAGAAATCAGAGATAAAGTGAATCCTATAAAACTTTCCTAGGCGACATATGTCCTTTGTAGTTTGTCAAGATTCGTATGAGCCTTTAACCAACTTCTGTAGTCAAATAAGAGGAGTACTGTCAAATAACGTGCATTCTTGTCGGAGGAGGAGAGAGCTAGGATTGTAAATACCAACTGGTTGAGTTGAATTTACCATAGTTCTAAAATTAATTTAGCAATGACAATGTATCTGTGGTTTTCTTATTTTTAAGTTGTTTGCAAGTACTGTAGGGCTAAGATAGTTATACTGCTATGTATGAAGGTTGAAATATTTCTAGAATTTCTAACAGTCTTTTCCTATGATACTAGGAATTCTTCCTACATACTAGTATGAGAATCCATCATATCATTCGTCTAGTAACGAATGATGGATTCTCATACTATGCAATTACTATATAATGGCATGATAATAAAGTATAATGAAGAAGTACAATAAATTAAATATAATTCTCATGGTTTTTGAAAGAGTTTTGAACCATACAAAAGTATGCCGCATTGTCTCAATGTACTGTGACAAAAAAATAAATAAGATGATTCTTGTTTCTGAAGATCGATTTAAATGGACATCAACTTAAATAACACTCGAAAAAATATTCTTTTTTTAAGTGTTATTTTATTTCATATTTTAGTTACTTTTATTTCTTTTAATTTTTTTTATTACATCATTATTTTGTTTTTAAGGTCGGAGATTATTTTATAATATTTTTTTGTGATTAAGAATATTCTATAATAAGATACAATTTTGTTTAAAACATTTGTTTACTTACAACTTCATTTTAAGGCGCAGGTTGAGCAAAATGTCGCGCTAGTCGTTATTTGTGCGGTTTTTAGGAGCTATCTACTTTTTATTTAAAAGATATATCAACAAATAAAAAACACATTATATTTCTACATAATCTTGATTTCATAAAAGCTATATCCAATTTTTTTTAAAGGAATAAATATTAATATAATCTCCTTACAACGAAACCATATAAATGTGAAATTATTATTGATAACATGCATCTCCTCGTAAAGTAAGTATTATTTTATTTTGCGATTCACACCAATGGATAGGCAATTTATTAATGAACATTTCTATTATAAATTTTTTTTTTCAAAAGATCAAAATTTGATTTTATTAAGAATTATTACTTATTAGGTTATTTATAGGTAGTATTATTTGTTTGTTTTGGGTATAATTTTTCGTATTAGTTATACATATATTTGTTATGTTTTTACTGCGCGATGAAGCTTTTTGCGTGTATTTTTTTTTTTGAAGTAAATGCAAATAAAAAAAATGAATCACCATTAGCATGTAAGGTTCAAATCCATAATTAACATTTCGACAAATATTATAATTTACACTATAAAAGGCTAATTCAATATTATCAGTATAGTATATCTACAGTTAAAAATAATCCTAATACCCAACCACAATATCTTATTAGGTATAGTACTGTCTCGTTGGTCTAGTGGTTGTAGTAGTGCGACTGCTGATCATGAGGTCCCGGGTTCGAATCCTGGGTCGGGCCAAAAAGTCAGTTATGAGTTTTTCATTTATGTTCTAAGTTATAATTAGTATTACTAAGTTATAGTTTTTTGCTAACATATAGTATATTATTTTTTGCTTGTTTTTTCTTTTTTTTTCAAAAAATAATTGAGTACATAAGGTGTTCTATACTTATAATTCGGTAAAAAGTATCTAAGTAGGTACTAATATACCTACTTTTTACTATAAACTAAAAAAATTTAAAACTAAATTTAACTAAAAAGACTAAACTGACCATTTATTGTTTAACTCAAAACAGGACATGGGTTTATTTATACTCTAAATACTATAACTTTATACAATTAGTGTTCACTATAAAATTATATTCGGTATTTAAACGGTAATTATTAAATGCAACATATTTTTTTTAATTATTAATTACATTTGTAAGTGGATTAAATTTGCTTTAATAAAGTTGGTGATGATTTTAAATAAGAATAAAATTCTGCTCATTTTTTTTTATTGTTATCTTTGTTAACAACATCGCCTTTAGAACTGGAACCGTAAGTGTTTCTTTCAGACGTCCACAATTTATTCAAAATAAAAAAATACTCTTTCTACCGGAGCATTTGTACCAGGTAGACATAAAATATATTCGATTAAAAAAAATTATGTTGAAGATTGTTGACTTTGAATACTTCCATCCAACGAGTTACGGGACAATTTTGTGTCCCGGAGCTTTGTTTGGGGACAATGGGACAGGTGACCGAGAAAAGGGACAGTCCCGTTCAAAACGGGACGTATGGTCACTTTAGCTATAACCCGGCGACGGCTCCGTGGCGCAGTGGCTTAGCAATCAGTTGTTGCGCTGGGGGCCGCGGGTTCGAATCCCGCACGGAACAAGTATTTGTATGGCCTACAAATAATCTGGATGTTTGTCCTTGTGCAATTTATGTTTGTAAACTGCCTCCACGACACAAGAGAAAATCCTAGTGTTGGGGTTTTTTACAATTGAAATTGAAAGATTGTACCCTTATACTTCTTGTTGATTTTTGTATTACCTTTATTAAAGTTACCCTTATGTATAAATAAATATAATTACGTATGTAGAAATAAAATTGATTTTCATCCTCATCAATCATTGGGATGAGGATAATGTCTGCCAGCATAAGTAATAAGCAGGCTAAGTTACAAGGTGCTCAGTTCAAAAATTTGTAGGTAGGTATGTTACTTTTCAATACGTGACACGTAAAAATTAACAAAAATAAAAAAAAACATCTGCGAAACATCCTATTTATTTATTTATTCTTTATTGCACCAAATATTTGTACGAAAAGCGAGCTATCTATTTATTTACCTATAGTGAATAGGTATCTTTTAAACTCACAATTTTCAATGCTTCATTTTTAATATATAATTAATTATAAAATTTCATAATTAGATAATATATGAAAATACATAATTCTAGTATAATGCAACTAATATACCGAATAAAAAAATTAAAATACATTTATCGTTGTATGCTGTGTGTATTTCCATAAATTAGTTTATTGATGTTGAAAAAATAATACTACGTTCGTACCTAGAATAGATGGCGTCTTACATATTTCATAAGCAATATATTTTAAGCGAGCAGCGCGTCGCCGGCCAAATACTCAAGGTCGTTCGCATGGAGTAGCCCCTTAACAAATTAATATTTTGAATGACAAAATATTAATTTATTTTATTTTATAATTGATTAGTAAAGATATTTGTAAAAAAAATGTAATTTATACTGTTTTTCACAATCCTGTAGGTGAAGGACTAAGATGGAATGCCTCGTTTCCAATAAAAAGGGTCTCCGGTTCTCTACACTCACCATATGAAACACAGCAGCGTTAAGCTGCTATTTTATGCTGGTATTCTGTGAGAGCGTGGTCTTTCCCCGGTCGAGCCGATCCATTCTTGCTACAACTATACCAGTAATATAGCTGCAGCATGGCTCTACCACGTAAGAAAATTGTAATGAAAAGTGTAATGTAAGACCTATTATAAATTTCAGTCGGTAATAAACAGGATTTTGAACATAAAAGTTGTTTCAATTAATAACGTTATTACACTTTCACTTTCTTCTATTAACTGTCATCTTTTCGCTCACCTTTTTTCTACCTATATGGTCTGTAACTGGACTGTGTCCATCTAATTTTTCTTAGGCCTCCGTCTACTCTTATCCATTTTCATATACAATATTCCTTCTTGTTACATGGTTTACTTACCTGACATAATATGCCCATACCATTTTTCTGCAATTGTGGGGCCATTTTTTATTTGTAGTATATATTAGCAATAATAATGTAAAAAAAATACAATAATAAGTAATGAAAAAATATAATAACATTAGGTGGTCAGGCAAATGTCATTTTGCCCGTTTCCATGATCTTTTGTTATATAAACAATCCTTAAATTTGCAATAAAAAATATTGAAGGTCACTTACCAGGATAAAAACTATCCAATCTCTCAAATTAAAGAAAGTAATAAACATTAACAAAATTTAATTAAAGTTAGTTTAGTAGTTTATTATGGATAAACAATGTGACATATAATTTTTATATATAAAGATAATGAAAACATAAGAAAGTCTGTTTCGAAAGGTAATGAATCGAGTCCGAGCACTATATAAGTAGTGTATTTGGATAGGATTTGTTTATAAAAGTGTGTCACCTGGAAGGCCTTGAAGTGGTTGCGCGTGAGGTCCGGCGGCGGCGGCGGCGCTCGCAGACGGTCCGCGAGGTGGCGCAGCGGCAGCTCGTCGTCCGGGTCGTCCGGGTCCGAGTCGGACGGCTCGCCCAGCGAGTAGTAGCGCTCGTCGTCCGAGTCGGGCGGCTCGGGCGAGGGCGGCGGCAGCGGCGGCGCGCGCGCCGTGTGGCGCTCGGCGGGCGCCAGCGGCACGGCGTGCGCCAGCAGCGGGTCGCGGCGCGTGGCGTAGCGCGGCACGCGCAGGCGCAGGCGGCGCGCCACGGCCGCCATCACGGCGTCGCAGCGCGCGTTGATCTTGAGCGCGGCCGCCGCGTCCTTGGGCGTCCACTGCAGGTTCACGATGTACAGCGCCGGCCGCGCGTGCGGCGCGCGCTGCATCTGCCACAGCCGCGGGTAGCGCCGCAGCACCTGCCGCACACCCACCCGCACGTGTACCGCTACTGACAACACTCTGCACTCCACACAATCACTCATTCATTCTTGGACCAATGTATACACTATTATAACAAAGTCTCAGAAAATATACAAGGTGAGAGACCTTTTTAGTTTAGAGATGTTTTCGTATATTTATAATATTTCACGACTTACTTTTGAGGTGATAGGAAGGACCAGGTTGGAAAGATGCTAATTTCTTTTTTTTCTCTTTTTTTTATAGGAGAGGGGGCAAACGAGCATGCGGCTCACCTGATGGTAAGTGACTACCACCGCCCATGAACAACCGCAACACCAGGGGAATTGCAGATGCGTTCCCGACCTTTTAAAAAGGAGTAGGCTCTATTCTTGAAGGTCCCTAAGTCGTATCGGTCCGGAAAAATCGCTGGTGATAAACTATTCCACAAGGAAGTTGTGCGAGGAAGAAAACATCTTCTAAATCGCACAGTGGTGGACCGCCAATCATCCAGATGGTGTGGATGGTATCGGAAGTTCTGCCGCGATGTGCGTTCGTGAAATTTGGCGGCTGGGATTAATCCGAACAATTCCTCAGAGCACTCCCCATGGTAAATGCGAAAGAAAATGCAAAGAGATGAAACATCTCTTCACAGTGCCAATGAGTCGAGCCGATCGGAAAGGACTCGGTCGTCGACGATTCGAGCCGCTCTGCGCTGGATGCGCTCAAGTGGAAGGAGCTGGCACTGGGGAGCCCCGGCCCAGAGATGAAAACAGTATTCCATATGAGGCCGAACCTGCGCCTTGTAAAGTTGCAGGCGTTGAGCTAGCATGAAATACTGTCCCGCTCTGCTGAGCACGCCAAGCTTTTTAGAGGCCAATTTGGCCTTCTCTTCCAAGTGACCACGAAACTGCACGCCACTCGATACGTCGACGCCGAGGATTCCAATACTGGCTGAGGCAACAAGGGGAGTACCTTGAAACAGGAAATACGACAAAGGGGTTCTTTTTAGCGGTAAACGCATAAACTTGTGTCTTCTAAAGATTAAATTGGACTAGATTTAGTCGCCCCCAATCCGAGACTTTGTCCAGCAAAAACTCGACTTCAGACACAAGTTTGTTCCGGTACTCGGTGACGTTTTCCCGAGAAATATTGGCACGGCCGGTGTATATAGCATAGCCAGTGCTGTCATCCGCATAGCAATGAATGCTACCGGCTTGCAACATATCATTGATATGCAGAAGAAACAGCGTTGGTGATAGCACGCAGCCTTGTGGAACACCAGCGTTAATAGGCTTGTAGTCGGAGCATGCACCGTCTACAACGACCTTGATGCTCCGATCTGCAAGAAAGCTGGTAATCCAATTGCATAATTTCTCAGGAAGCCCATAGGAAGGGAGCTTCGAAAGAAGCGCTTTGTGCCAAACCCGATCGAAGGCCTTCGCAATGTCCAAACTAACGGCCAATGCCTCCGCCTTGGACTCTACTGCCTCCGCCCATCTATGAGTTAAGTAGACCCGAAGATCACCAGCTGATCGACCCCGACGAAAACCGTACTGGCGGTCACTAATCAGCTGGTGATCCTCAAGGTACCGCATGAGGTGGCAGTTTATAACGGATTCCATTATTTTGGAGAACAAGGCAATAGGCCTGTAGTTGGACGGGTCTGAGCGGTCGCCTTTTTTAGGGATCGGGTGGACAAAAGCTGTCTTCCATGATTTAGAGACTACGCCTAGGGAGTAGGAGTACCGGAAAAGACGCATTAGAACCGGTGCCAACTCCGGAGCACACATCCTCAACACAATTGGGGGGATTCCGTCAGGCCCACTCGACTTGTGGATGTCAAGTGAGAGGAGTGCTCTGCGAACCGTGAGCTGTGAGAATCGCACATCCGGCATTAAGCACTCACACCGCGGGATGGTCGGCGGTGGGTTCCCCCCGTCATCAACAGTCGAGCTGGACGCAAAAAAGGTCAGCTTTCTCTTTTGCGTCGTGGGCCAGTGAGTCGTCCTCCCTGTGCAGAGATGGTAGTGATGGCTTACAGAAATTCCCTTGGACAGCCTTGGCGAGAGACCAGAATGCACGGGTTCCCGAAGGAAGGCGAACTAGTTTCTCGCCAATTCTGCCTATGTGCTCTGACTTTGCCTTGGCAATAACTCTTTTGAAGGACCTGGTGGCGAAGTTATACTTCTTTTTAAGTATGAACCAGCATACTAAAAAAGACTTCCAGTTTGGCGCAGCGCGCCGGCCCAGTTGAGCGGCCAGGCGGGGCCGCGCGGCGCGCTAGTGCAGCGGGCGTACCTTGAGGCTGGAGCCGAGGCACAGCACGACGTCCGCGGCGGCCGCGTGGCGCAGCGCGCCGGCCCAGTTGAGCGGCCAGGCGGGGCCGCGCGGCGCGCTAGTGCAGCGGGCGTACCTTGAGGCTGGAGCCGAGGCACAGCACGACGTCCGCGGCGGCCGCGTGGCGCAGCGCGCCGGCCCAGTTGAGCGGCCAGGCGGCGCGGCCGCGCTCGCCGAAGTGCACGATGGAGTCGCGCAGCTCGTGGCCGCAGGCGGGGCACAGGCGGCGCGTGAGGTGCGCGTGGCGCCGCGTGCGCTCGGTGGTGTCGAAGGCGCGCAGCAGCACGCGGCCGCAGCGCGCGCAGCGCTCGCAGAACATGTCGCCGTGCAGCTCGGCCAGCGCGCGCCGCGGCAGGCCGGCGCGCACGTGCAGCCCGTCGCAGTTCTGCGACACCACGAACTTGAGCGCGCCGCGCGCCCACAGCGCCGACAGCGCCATGTGCGTCAGCGTGGGCCGCGCGTGCGACACCTCCACGCGCCTGCAACCAACCGTGCTCTGCTCTCTGCTCTCCGCTCTCCGCTCTCACCACACCATGCTCTCACATCCTCCAACTCTACCTCCTACTTATGATCACTCTTCTTTTAACTATTATAATCAAAAACTTATAAGTTTACTTGTACACCCACAATTCAGAACAAAAACTGTATCACATCTATGACATTGCATGTGTGATCGCATGGATGCAGGCTCAAGCACGTAGGTAAGATGGTAAATATGCCACACATGTATTTTCATTTACAGCAGTTACTGTTTTTAAGCAGATCTCATTGACGAAGTGCACACTTAAATAATAATGGCGCTCACTTAGTCACATAATCAATATTAGATTGCTAAAAATGCAATTTACAACACAAAGAACTAGTTCCCTCGCTTACTCGCAGTCGACTAAAGAAGTTACATACATACACAGCGCCTATCTAGTAGTACAGTTAGAAGTCTGATGACCAGTGCTTTGACTACCTGATGATAAGTGAGAATACAGCCGAAGATGATAAAGCATACTCACAATCTCAACAAAAGCCACTCATGTCTTAGACACCAATGTTAAAAAAGACAAATCAAGACTATTATTATTTAAAACTGCTCTGCACTGCATTACATTTTATTAATATAATTTAAGTAACCTAAAATAAAAAAATTATATAAATAATTAAAAATTAAAAATTTGTACAACCATCTTCAATATAAATTATTAAGAATAACTCAAAAAGCATTAGTCAGACCTTAATCAAATTTATATGGGACTACATGTGAAGCACCAGTTTTCAAATAAAAAATCATCAAAATCAGTTCACCCAGAAAAAAGTTATGAGGTAACACATAAAAAAAACATACAGTCGAATTGAGTACCTCCTCCTGTTTAAAGTCGGTAGAAAAGACAACTCGTCACAAACACCGCAAAGGGGCAAACCACAATTTTTTTTAAAAAATCAAGAGAGCAAGAAATCATTTATTTTTCCCCAATTCTAACCTTGATTATAAATCAAAATACTGATGTAATGTTACATCCGAAGGCAAAGACAAAATGCTTGACTGAATGCGTCACAAGACCATATGCGACTACATTATCCTGGTTTTGGGGTGTGAACTGGTATGAACATAGCTCTTCGTTGGTTAAACCAAGCCATGTTACTGTATGGTGTTTGCTGCATCACAACAGCCACAAAACAACAGCTTAGCTCTAATATGTAAAAATATACAGAAATATGCCTTATGTTCATAGTAAAGCCTTATTCCTTATTATGGAGAGAATACCGTTCAATTCAGGTAAGCATTTAAAAATAAAGTTGTCTATTCATGTTACTGTTCCATTACAGCCTATCAAAAGTCCGCTACTGAACATAGGTTTCCCTCATAGGTGGTATATTTACCATAGTCGCCATACATGGCAGGCAGGTTTTACTTTGACCACATGCCATTTCCTCCATTGTTTGCGGTATTTTGTTGCAATGTTTGTATATTGCTTTTCTGCTATTTGATAAAGAGGCAGGTTAGCAATCAAAATTTTTTACGAAGACCCTACTACCCCTCTCCTGGATTGTTTTTCTTTGTCACACCTTACTACAACCATGGGGAACATTATGGGCTAGTGGATATTCTTACACTGCCACTACATAGTTTTCTATCTCTATACCAGACTTCAAACTTAGGTTGCCTAATTGATCTAACAGTTCCTAGGTATGTTCGATTACAAAATTTTTACAATTGACTTTTATGAAATGTTCAGTCTTATAATTTGTTTAAAGCACTCACCCGACAGTTTCACCACGTTGCAGACGTGTCCATACGCCATGAGGGCCACGGTAGTCAGGAATATCTGCCGCAGTACTTATACCCGCCCCTGTATACACCTGTAACCATAAGCATTTAAGTAAATATACCTCGCAGAATTTGTCAGCATACAAATGAATTAGTTAATAGCTTGGTCTGTATGCAGTAATTTACAGTGTTACAGCCGATGAATTTCGTTGTATTTCCAACTACCCACTAACTCTCTTTTCCTCTCAATAGTATGTTTATAGAATAAACTTAAGCACATCAATATATTTCTCACAAAGGAATCAATAAACATGGTGTGAAATCTCACATAGTTACTACAGATGTTGCATTCTAAATAATTAAAATTATTCTTAGGATGTGGGCATTAGAGCATCCATTTTAAAAATCAACATGCTCTTTAACTGTTGAATATCAACCAACAAGTACATGTATATATAAAATTCTTCACACCTACAATGAAAATGAGCCCTAATAGTCATGGGTATATAGGTACTGTACAACTTTACATTGTTGATGTTGAAACTTAAAGAGCCTTTTATTGTGAACACTTACAATTATGTAAATATAGGTCAATTTATTTGAATTTTTTACAAGATAAGAGTTATTATAACTTTTTAGGTTTACCTTTCATAACAGGTCATGTGTATTTTGTGAACAAACTACAAAATTAACAAGATTTTTCGTCTAGTTAACTACTCAGTTGATTGGTTTCCAAATTTAGTTCAACAGCTCTTTCAGTAGTATGCAACTTATTTATTTGCTTGTTCCTACTCATTGCTTTATAAATATTCTGTAATTAAAGTAATCTAGATTGACTGACAGTGCTAAGCCAGTCAAGTCTGAAGGAATATTGTAGCTATAAGAGAATAAAACTACAAAATCACACTAATTCGACTGAGCCACACAAATATTAACAAGCACCCTAATTCATCATTTGTTATATCTGTGATCTGTATTGAACTAGAAAGTAATAACAAACTATGCATATTGGGATCACTTACAAGTTAGTTTATAGATAAACAAACTTGCATACTTTTTTCCATTGACAATTAGTCAAGAAAACAATTCATTCAACAAAAACCAAAAGCATTGCCACTAAGCATCAAGAGTTGAAGAAAGTGACATCATAGGCACATAACAGATCAGACACCACAATCAAAACCTGTGCGGCAGTGCAGGGTGCATGGTCAGAGGCAAAGAGTACCTTTTTATAGCACAGACTTAACGTAATTTAAGTTTGAACCCATGGGCTCTAACGCACATTGCAAACTACCAAGTCTCAGAGTCTCTTCTAGTAGGTAGCACATATTACTTAAATGACTTGATACGGGCACTCACCACTAAGTGCTTGGCATCGCGCACGGCGCGCGCTAGCCGGCGGCACTTCTCTCGCAGCACCTGCGGGCTGTCCTCGACCTCGCGGGCTCGCTCGGCAGCGCGCGCTCGGCGCTGGGCGGCGGCGGCGCGCGCGGCGGCGGCGGCGGCTGAGCTGCGCGCCGCAGCCGCACGGGGCAGCGCCGCACCCACCCTGCCACACTCGCCGGACCCACCGGACCCACCGGACCCGCCGGACCCGCCGCCGCTCAGCCGAGCGCTGCTCCGCACGCCCCTGCCCATACCGCTTCTACCCGTCTCTCCACTGAATGTCCGCCGTCCACGACCACGATCCTTGTGCCCACATCACGCCAACCGTTCACTTTTAGCCTTACACGATAATACGGAACAATTTTTGTTTCACAATCACAACTCTATGTCATCACGATGCCCGTGTATTATTGTATTTTTTATTTTATTACGTCAAAGTGTCAATTCTCCACTCGACGCGCAATAGGGATGCACCATAAGACACATCGGAAAAATTCTTAATCGATACGCGATAAACATTCGAAAAATTAAACGAAATTAATGAAACAATATTATTATAAATAAAGTATTATACACTTGATATATTTCATGCACACAAACTCGTTTAAATCGTGGAAATACCGCGAAAGAAGGTTCAATGTGAAATAAAATATTATAACGACTTTTAACAAAAACAAGAATATCGATATTATTTGTGGTTAACATTGATGTGTGATGTGAAGGTGGTTAAAATTTACAACATTATCGATATTTGGATTCTTAATATTATAGTTTACTAGCTGACCAGGCAGACGTTGTTCTGCCCTTTTCGACGACCCATCATATAAAAAATCCTTAAATTCGTAATAAAAAAATATTGAGGGTTACTTATCAGGATAAAAACTATCCTATCTCTCAAGTTGGACCAAACTGCACAGTGTGTGCATATTTTCATTGAAATCAGTGGTTTAGGAGTTCATCGCGGATAAACAACATGAGATTTAATTTTTATATATAAAGATAAAGTACGCGTCAAAACAATTAATATAATTATTATTTTTTCAATATTTTTAATTGTCCATAATACATAATATGGATGATGGAAAGTAGTAATATATCCTTAACAAATTCATAAAAACTATCTAGATAGTTATGTCAAATTTTGAAAGACCCGTTATATATATAAGAGAAAACCCTCACTGATTATTCTCATGGCTTATATACAAGAAATTAGGTTGTCGTCTTAAACTCTTTATACAGGTACCCAAACAGATGTGTTAGACGACGCTATGCAACTTTAATACAATCCGTATTAAAAAAAAAACTCGCCTAGTGCGTGTCGAGCCACACAATTTGGTGCAGTGACCAGGATAGAGGTTAAATTTTAAATAGGAGGCCGGTAATATAAAATTATGAGGTAGGCTATATGCCTACAATTTGTTGTCCGTGAAATGGAGAGAAGTCTTGGAGAGTGGTGTTTGCTAGGGGTGGTTGAGAGTCTGGGGGTGGGACTTAAATATTAAAATTGAGTATCAATATAGAAGGTGTATACATAGCTGAGCGAAATAATATTTGAAAGTGAAATAAGTGGAAAGACTCAATTAAACTAAGTGAGGGACCCGAAAAGTGTAAAAAAAAATGGCTAAAAACAAGAAAAATTTAAACTCAATTAAGGCTAAGCCTAAAAATAAAATGAAAATGCTTAAGAAATTAATTAAGAATGCAGTGAAAACCTTTGAGGTTAAAATAAGGGATCTTGAGGAAAAATTTATTAACCAAACGAAAGATCACCAAATTAAAATAAATCAAGGAGAGGTGTCCGGGGCGAGCACTTCTTATGTAAATGATCCTTGATAAAATATTTTATATAATGTACATATTATAACAATAGAAAAGCCGAAATATGGAAATGGAAATACTCATCCAGTATCATTTTTGGAAGATCTCACCAACTATTTAAAGAAAGTTCCATCTAATGGTCTCGAAATATCAATAGCACAAGAGTGCTTAGTAGGTGAAGCCAAGTATTGGGCTCGCATTAATAGTGTACGATGGACAACTTTTGATGATTTTAAAGCTGACTTTCTAAGAGTATTTTGCGGTGAAGAAGAACAAAATAAAGTAAAGAGATTTCTTGTGCAAAATAAATGAAATAGAAGTACACACCCCACCATGGTTAGTTATTTTCTTTATGTTATTGAAAAGGCACAAACATTATCATATCCGATACTTGAAAAACAATTAGTAACTGAGGTCATCAGACATTATCCTAAAACTGTGCAGCAATTATGGAGAATAGCTAAAATAGAGACAATAATAGACACGACAGATTTCTTAAGAAACTTAGATGACATCGATAAACAAGATGAAGGTCGTGAACCTTACTAAAATGAGAAAAAGAGAAAATTTAATAATAATACGGAGCAAAAACATAAAGAAATACAACAATCATACAAAACATGGCGTAAACCCGATGAGGGAAAAAAGAAGGTTAATGAAGTACATGAAATACATTTCACCAATGACCAATCTGATGTTACGGCCCCTGAGCCAAATTTAGAGCTGTAGAGGTCGAACTAGTTCTCGATTCGATCCCTTACAATGTAAAAGGGAACAAAGCATTAAATATGTTATTAAAAATGGTTGCAGAAACAGAGAAACCTCCTATACAATCAGATGTTTTGAATTCATTCCACGGAGCCAATTATATCACTACCATTAACTTAAATAATGCATATTTTCAAATTCCGATAAATAAAGATGGTAGAAAATATAATGGATTCACATTCAATGGTAAGTCATATGTATTAATGTTCTGCCGCAAGGATTAAAAACATTAGTAGGATGCTTTAGCAGAGACCAAACTGCACACAATGTGCAAAACTTCTTCGAAATCAGTTCAGTAGTTTAGGAGTTCATCGCGGACAAACAATATGACACGTAATTTTTATATATAAATCTATATGATTGGCCTAAGAGGGAAGAGGTATTTATGTTTGTTTAAGCACGCTAATATCTAGAACTACCAGTTCCATTTGATAAATTCCTTTTGTATATGATAGCCATATTCACGTTGAATATTATATACTACTATCTAGGATTAGGATACACCTATCAGCTAGCCTTAAATCCTTAAATATTTATTTTTGTTAAGCAAGTTGGAAGAAAAAGCACTTCCGAACTGCTTTATCCGCGTGCGTTAGGGTAATATTTAGTGATACGTAAATACTATGGGCTACAAAAATACAGATATTTCAATATAGAAAACTAAAAAGTAATTTATGAGCGTTATTATTAGGCATGGTGTATTAATCCTTACGAATGAAAGTTACTTCGTCATCAAGACAATTTTATGAAGATAAGCTTTTCTCTTTATAGCATGTTATTTAAAAAAAGTTACCCCCACACTAGGATTTTCTCCTGTATCGTGGAGGCAGTTTACAAACATAAATTGCACGAGCACAAACATCCAGACCCGGAACAATTATTTGTAGGCCATACATGTTCCGTGCAGGATTCGAACCCGCGGCCCCGGCGCAACAACTCATTGCTAAGCCACTGCGCCACGGAGGCATAATTTGGACGTATAGTTTAGGATATAATGAAAAATTAAAATAATTCACAACACTCGACTCAGTACCCGATGAGAACCCAGAAAAACCAGCAGTGAACGTCTATAAGTGAAGTGTCTTGTCGCGCGGCTCATACGCGTGATATACGTGGGTGATACCGTGGGAAACAGCTAGCTCAGTATAGTGTCTCCTATTATCTCGGTCTTCTCTGTGTGCGGTGCTTTAAAATAGGTGAAGAATTAAATAATTACAAATTTATTATCAAATAAATAAAATTAATTGTATTGAACAAAATTATGCTATTCAAACCATTTTTAACAATCCACGATTTAATAATATATTACCAATTGATATTAAATTGGTCGCGTTTAGGCCATTTTACCGACCACCTTGAGAGTCAATCAATTTTTGTTCGATAAAATGATTTTACCTATGGAATGAAGTAGACATTGCTATTACAAAGCAATTTTTATTCGAAATAGAACATTCTTTTGATTTGATACACTAAAATGTAGTTTTAGGAGAGGCGAACGTTTCGTAGCGATCTGTTGTTAATTTTAGTGCAAATGGCTGCGTAAGTCAGGTGATGATTGATCGCATGACGTAGTCACTCGCTACTTAAATGGGGAGCGGTGCGTCAGCGAGTTGCATAAATAGTAGCTGTTTCGGCTCGCCGCTCACTTAGTGGTCAGCCATCATAGGTCTAGTTCACTTGAGGATGGCTCGTGTAGAGGTGGTGAAACACGTGGCGTACTATCGAGGGTGGTGTGTTTCCTAATGTGATGGTGGTGGGAGTGGTGATGCTGGGATTGGTGGTGACGGGAATAGTGCACGCAATTTAGGGAGGATAGGAGGTTCTCTTCAAACTGGGCACGACACATAATTTTATTTCAGTACGCGGAAAAATGAAGTTCTAACAACTTTAATAGAACGTATTTCCGTATTAAATATCGATGACTGCTTAAAACATCTTAATTTAAATTGTAGCGCCTACGTTAAAATTTAAAGCACTATTGAAAGACGAGATCTAAATAATAGGAAACACACAATTTTTTTATTTACTAGCAATGCTATTAACATTACTAATATTCCGGTAGAGCGGTTCACGACTTTAGTCCAATAGTGGATTCAAACCCACAACCTTTTGAGTTTGCGCTTCGCACCCTGTCATTAGGCTACTTTCGCTTATTAAGCTGTATTCTATCTCATTCTCTCGTAGACTAAATTCTATAGATGCATAGACTTAGAATATACTGGCGTATAGACCGACATAGCGTGCAAGGGATAAGAAAATTCCTTATGGCAAAAATGCAAGATAGAAAAGGATACCAAATCTCATGACTCTGTAACCGATTTTGAATGACAGGTCGGCGCAATTCGGCACGCAATTTTATATCATAGACTTTGTATCTTATAGACTAAACATTCCGTGACGTCATCAGCATGTGAAAGGAATGCACGTATATAGTTAGACATAAGAGTAAGGGAGAAGCAAATCTATATTTCTTGTCTTTTTCTAAGTATGCGTTTTTGATTGTTTTCCCTCCTTTATTTGACATTAACGATGTCAAGCTCTTGTGAATAATATTGATATTATAAGCAAACAGCTAATTGAATTTAGTGTTGTTTGTGGGTTTTAGCTATTAGGTAAGGTTAAAAAGATGGTAAGTTGTAGCATTTTAGGATGCAACAGCATCAGTC